GCCGGTAGTCGTCAAGCAGCTTTGTAGCAGAATTTAACAGCAGCTATACCGTCGTCTAATATAATATTACGCAGGTCAAATACCGAATAGCTAATGACGATAAAACTTTGCTTGCGCAGCCAAATCTCGACGGTTTTCAAGTGCTTATAACATAATATAAATCGTATGGTACTGAGCCCACTCATCAACACACTCAAAAATGTGCACGCTGAAAAGCTATGACGATATTATGTAAAACGCTCGACCGTTTTGGTTTTGATGATGAGCGAAACTGACACAAAAACACCGTTGTACTCGGCCGTTATCTGAAAAAGAAGTACCGTATCTGTCTCCATTGTTATACATTAGCCTATTGTAGGCACCTCCCATCTAAATGTTGTACACAGCGGTTGTGTATGTGTATATTTATTACGATTAAACGCCAACGCAAAGGTCGCAAATCGGATCCACGTCCTAAAAAACGTGAAAAATACTTTACCCAATTTTTTTATATTTTTGTTTTCAGATAAGTTATTCATAAATAATAGTAACGATCAAATAAACAATAATGGAAGAAATAAATAGTTAACTACTTATTGCTAGTTCAACATTATTAATAATAAGCCCAAGAAGAAGAAATTTGTTATCTACCTAACCAAGATGACGCTTGATTTGACCGCTTACGAATTGTCTCTCTTTCTTATCGTAGCTCTTAGTGTCAAAAACTACTAGTTGCATCCCGAAAATATCTGATTTCAAAAAAATTGTAATAAATAATATTGTCTGTCGGCATAGTCGTTATCTGTAGGTACTTCAATATTTATTTATTATAAATTAAAAATTTAAGTCTTTAGTGTCAAAACCTGGTGATTGTATGGTATTTTATTTTAATGTTTATTAAATTTGCAATTTTGTGCGAAATACACATTATGATTAATTATACTAAAATAATGGACAATTTGGTAGTATGCAGATTACAAGTATGAATATAAAACTATAAAAAAATATGAACAACTTTGCGGTATAATGTTTAACCAGCTTGAAAGGGATCGTAAGGAAGGTATTCGGACAGCCTTTGGAGGCAACTCGGATGAAGAATATTGACTACTTGTCACGAGAGGCAACTAGTACTTTTTTACCCGATTTTAATTTTTCTCGAGCAACGCTTCAATGGTTTGATGAACTCAAAATTGTTGAAATTTTTATTTTGTTAAAAAATATCTTTATACAAAAATAAATGTATTAGGCTTATATATTAGGGTTATATTTAATTAAGCTAAGTTTAAAAATATCAAATGATTTCTCTAATCATTTTTTTATAACTTAATGTAAATTACAAAAAACTTTATTTCCTCAATGATTTACATAAACGACCTGTACGATTTGATAAAAATATATGGTATATTATTGTCTATTGTGTTGATAAATGATTGTAACTATAGCTGTATTCGACTAAAGTTTTGTTAGATAAAACTTGCTACATCATTGTATGGTAGTATAGAATGTTTAGATACTAAACAACAAGTAGCTGGTATAGATAATTTTGGAAAAAACATATTAAAGATAATTGTTGAGTGGGAGCTTCGGAGTTTAAGTGGAAAAAGTAAGACAAATCGATCAGTGCCTATAAATTATTTGAACATAACTATAATTATTGATATTATTTTCATTATATTCTACATAGGTATAATTGCGCAATTTTATTTCCGTGGTGTTTTTATTTGTAAAATAATCAAGTATTATCAAGTCGTTTTCGTACGACATAAATTGATATTTAATATCTACATTAATATAATCATTAAAATGTACTGCTAATTATAACCACGAGTGTTAATTTTATCGACGGGCGAGTATAGCTGAGTTACCAAACAACTCTTGTTTGCATAGCCAATTTGACAAAACAACAAAATCAATAGTTAAAGTACGCATTTGTCAGAACACCTACAAATAAAAAAAAAACATTGTAAAAGAAATTAATAAAATAATGTCCAAAGAAACTGCATTGTATGTTTTGTCAAAACCCTATATCAATACTTAATTGTAGCCGCACGAACGATGCTAGAATTACTTTACATAGATTTTAAATTATTCGTTCGTTGTATAATCGTAAGAATACAAACTAAGTATAAAAAGTTGAATCACTGAAATCATTTAAATCATTAAACTATGTTTTAAAATGAAAAACACGACGTTACAATAATAAACTGACATAATTCGAATTACAATTATATAATATATTTACATATATGTAGTCGAGTTCAATCACTACTATAGCACATATGTATACTATTAACTATATATTACACGAAACTGTCGACATACTTCCTATACTATACAATACTATTTTGATGAGAATACTTCCTATTGTGAGACTAAACGCGTTAATGAATTAGATATAAAAATCATATTGATAAATTTAATTTTAAAAATGTAAATATCATAGCTATATTAGCAGATACGGTATAATAAGGAGGAATATTTATATAAATATAAAAAAGTACAACTGCTTAAATAATGAGACCCAACGTTCTGGATAAAATATTGGAATTAAAAGGATTGGTATTGCGTGTAGTATGTAGAACACGTTAAGTCGACATGATTTGTATAAAGGAGGTTAGATATCACGAGAGAAAGGGAGTTTGAATTCTTAGTGTTAGTGGTGGCTAAAGCAGGACAACTCCAGATTACAATGAAAGAGAAATCACTACTAACTCCTACGGGTACCGAAGACAACAAAGGAAAAGCTTGAAAAGATAGAATAGTAAAATAATTTGCCTGAAAACGGCTAATGAAAGCTTATATTTCCTAGTTTGGTTAAATCAGGGTCATTCTGTGTGAAATCAACTTACAATATTGGCGTGTATTTAGAATTTTTAACTTGTATTTGGACTCTGTATTCTCAACTTGTATTTGGAGAGCCAAAACCATAAAAAACGATTTTTTTTAGGATTTACAATAAAATTTGTCCAAAGGACATACTTTACATTTATGTAAAATTAAATATACATAATAAGTGAAAAATGTTGTATTGATTTTGAATTCCAACTGATTGTGTAAATTACACTGTGCCGCCACAATTGAGGTGTACAATGTGCCGTCGCTATTATGCTGACAAATTAAACCCGGAGCAAAAATAACTGGGTAACAGTGGTCGAGACGAAGAGCACAATGAAACTGCACACAAATTGACATTTATTTATGGTCCACTTAACCAATTCACTCGTTTCCTCTGTTGGTGTTATACACGTACCAAGTAGGTACAACGTTAATACCTATTAAAACGTTTTTTTTTAGTCCGGTGCACATATTTGAAGGAAAAAAATCAAATATATCGAACTATACGAGTTATACGCGATCCGAATAAATATACGATCTAACGACGATAAGTACTAGAATAAAAAAAAAGCCAAATATGTTAAACCATAATGTGATTTGAGGGCAAGTAGGCCGTTGTGAAGACAGATAAGTTTGGAGGAAGTTAATTTTGGCTACCCAATAGTGCTTTATAGGTCAATTATTTTAATTTTTTTATTTTATACTAGGACGAATGTATAAATCAAACGAGATAATTAAAAAAACGTGTTGGAAATTGACAAACACAGGGCACTTTATACTTACTTATCAGCTCTACTTATTACCAATCGTTTATCAGCAACGGCAGAGTCCAATCCAAATGTGAAATTCTCTAATCGTGTAATGAACTCTTCAATCGGATTACCTATGCACGACGATTGGACATTTATAAATAAGTATACTTATTTTGTTTTATCACAAAAAAATGCAATCAAAAAATTACTCAGCACTTAAAATGCAAATAAACGACTCTTTGGCCGGTCTAGATTATTAATCAGACCTATCGACAAGTATGTTGGATCCAATACTAATTTCCCCAAAACTAGACAACACATTGATAATAATTTTATTTGATAATTTTGCAGAAGTAGTTTTTTGACTACAATTAGATTGATGCACATTTTAAAAAACGTGAAATTAAAAAACCAAAATTTCTTATAATATTTCTTTGTAATAACCAAATATTTAATGTAGGTACAGCATGAAAAAAAATCCCTCGTCATTGGGCAGCTAGCATTATTTCTAAGTTATACAATTTCTACCAGCATAATTATTAAGGGTTTAAAGTAATATATATATTATTTATTTTTCATATTCGGACAGATTACATTAAACAAGACTGTGGATTACCGATTATGGGGTTTTAGAGGAGAAATGAGCGTCCTTGACCTGTTCGGTCAATGTTAAATAAATTAAGTCACGAAATAAATTTTTTTTTTAAAACCAAATTGAAATCAGATAGTTCTTACTAAAGTAACCTCTCACAACAGAACAACTTGTTATTTTTTGAAACTAAAATGTTTTTATTGGAGTTTTTTTTTAATATTTACAAGTAAAAGTGTATTAAAAATATCACAATATGTTACCATCAGTCTTAATGTTTGTATTTTTATTAATGAAGAATGAAAAATTTACAATACATAAAATACTGATTAGGACTAATCAATACAACAACAGGTATAGTAGTAATTTATAGTATTGTTATTAGGCAATAAAATAATAATAATACATCCGGCTTTGTATACTTTAAAAATATATATTTATAACGTTTGTACGTTTTATCTCAAAGTATTTAATTAGGCAAACAAAATAATAATAATAATATTCATGACTATTTTTGTGCATTAAAATGTGAATTGTTCAATTCAATATTGTAGTCAAGACTTAAGAGCACAGCATAATTTAATACGATAATGTAAAATATACAAAAAATGAATTATGAAGTGTTTTATTTTTTTAATTGATAGTAGGCTTTAATTTGCTTACATTGATGTTATTAGTGTTTTTAAGTTCTCTAGATAAATTCTACTGCAATACAATTGAAAACCATATCATTATAAAACTAAGCTTTACGTAAGACAAATATATCTTAAAAAACACAACCATAAGTAAATGATAAATAATAAATCATATAACACTTAGTGTAAAACTTTGGAAAAAGAATATGACAATACTATAATGAATTGATTGGAATATACTCAATTCAAGACCATTTTAGCAAATAAGTCATCCACGATCAGAACGTAAATACTGACGTGACTTCTTGTTGATATTTCAGAAAAAATTAACCTAACGTACTTTAACGAGTATAAATGCATTTTTGTAAATTGTGGAGTTTGCAAATTTATTGTTTCTCATATTATGTATTCCACATTTTTTATCGCATGATTTGTTTTACGAACTCAAACATTTTTTACCACATTGACGTTTATTAGTTAGCACAAAACCTTTGTTCAAAATATCAACTACTGAAGCGCTTGTAGTCTATAGGACTGTTTTACAACAAAGGAAACGCGTAGCATTTAGCTAAGATAACGACCGTTATCGAACACAGCATGTTGTAATATTTTTGTCATTTGTTTTTTTTTGGTGCGCATAAACAGTTACACACGCACCGCTGTCGAAAAAAAAATTGGAGAACGGTAAACAATTCAACAACCACCAGCGATGGAGTTGAATTTGCTGGCCGAATTTGCGGCTTTCGCATGCATGATGACCCTGTCTGTGCTCATCGGTCTGTACTACGGGTTTGTTGAACGCAAACAGAACACGGTCGACGATTACCTGTTGGGTGGCAAGCACATGTCAGTCTTTCCAATCACAATGTCGCTGATCGCCAGGTAACTATCTACCGTGATATTGAAACCCTCTTGTCGAATTTTAAGGTGTCCAAGTCCACCGAGTCCAGCATTCCATGTGCCTGTTGTTGAATTTAAAGTATGCTGAATATGACTGCGAAAGAAATGGCTTTTATTTTTGAACAGGACGACTTTACTTGTCCTGTATGTTATTGAAACCATTTTTAGTTAAAATATATCTATTTTAATTCCAACCTAGTCTCGGCCACGGCCAGAGGTTTCATAGAACGATGGTTTCCCTGCTGAGGCCTAGGTACATTATCGAATTTCGTTTAACTTGTCAGTAGTTTGGATGAATTCTGTCATTTCCAAGTAGCCATTCTTTATATACTCTATAAATATACATTTTTTTTAGTTTATAGACGTCGTAATGATTGTAATGATTCTGAAGTACTAGGCAAGTCGTAGGTAATTACATTGCTTTTTATAATTAAACTGAACAATACTTTTGACTCGGGGTTACTATAGGTATGTACTCGATAAACAATATAAAATATTCTTTGTTTCAGCTTAAACTATTAAAATTAATTTTTATGATAGTAATATTTTCAACGATTTCTCTCGGAAAATAATAAATTACTGTAGACATATTAATATGCAGGCAAAACATCGTTGTTGACCAAACATTTGAACGACGAAACATAAATCGTTCACGTGATTCAACTCTGTCAACACTGAACGAATGAGTTAACTGTTAAAGTATACCACACGATAACTAACATTGATTTCAGTTTATTGATTGCATATTTTAACATAAAATCTGGTGTACTTCAAACACAATTGTAAAAAATTTCCAAGTGTGTAATCTACAACACCACTAAAGCTAATCACGTTTTAATACATAGTCGATACACATGTTTAACTAATACTTATTGTTTCGTACAATGTAATTTTAACTATGACATGTCATAATCGTGTTCTATAATAAGGAAATAAAATTTTAAAAATTAATCGACTTGGGCATTTTTGCTCTGAAAATTCACTCCTTTGTACGATAACTGTTGAAGCCAGGTCGATATTGTAATTTTGACCTATCGAATTTTGTGTGTTTACAGTCACGTTTCTGGCGTCACTTTACTTGGCGTCCCGTCCGAAGTTTACGTTTACGGTGCACAGTACTTGATTATAGGTGTAATCAATATTTTCATCATAATCATAGTGATCTATATATATTTGCCGGTATTTTATGATCTACAGCTGACATCCGTGTACGAAGTGAGTGACCTGAATAATATTATACGGTAAAAACGTGATAATTAAACGCCAATGTTTGTAATTCCGCAGTACTTGGAGTTAAGGTTCAACAGCACTATCCGAAGAATTTGTTCGCTGATATATGCCATATCGTTGATCTTGTACATACCGATAGTGATTTATGTACCAGCCCTGGCGTTCAATCAAAGTATCATCGACTTGTTAATTCTCACATTATTTATATAGTATCTGTTTAAGATTGGTTTTTATAATAATTATGTCATCAATTTTTAATCCAACTACAGTGTCGATAGTGTTACCTATTCTAAAACTATATACACATTTTATACCTATTATGTAAATTTTAAAACCGGAAGAAACCAAAATTCGTCAAAGTGATAGATAATAGAAATTTCAGAGGTTTAAAGAAATCGAGGAAGAAAGAATGGTATGTAACGAATCGATAATGAATCGGTATGGGGTAGTCGTTGAATAATCGTACAAAACTGGACGTTGAAACAGAATATGTAACATCAAATAGGACAAATAGCAAAGAAAATAGCAATAAGGATAAGAATCGTTAAGGAAAGATGATATGCGTGAGAAGAGAGAAGACTGTGATCTAAGCGAAGACTTAAATATAAGAATGATGACTTTTTTGATATAACGTATAGATGCAAACAGATGCAAATGTAAATGTAGACTTTAAATTGTTAACTTCCCATTTTACATTCATTGAAGTTTTAACTCGATTGTACTTATGGCATAAAAAAATTGTGGTATTATAAATTGCTTATTTACATTACAGTAAGCAGTCTTGGCGTACACTTTATAACTCCTATCATATGTATTGTGTGCATATTCTACACAACGATTGTATGTAGCATATATATTTTTATCTGCCTAATACTGAATACAAAATTATTACAATAGTTGAAAATTCTAGGGAGGACTAAAAGCTGTGGTATGGACAGATGCACTGCAAAGCTTTTTCACGACGGTTTCGATGGCCATTGTGATTGTTTTAGGTTTCATCCAAGTCGGTGGTCTTAGCAAAATGATAAAGGCCAATATCGAAGGAAACCGATTAGAACTATTCAAGTATGTTGTAACTATGAACTGCGGTAGGTATTAGTTTATGGTTTCAAGTTGTACGACACAATGGATCATTGGCGTCAATGTTGATAATCCAAATAAAATAAATACATTTAATAATACAGGATGGACCCAGATCCGTTTTTGAGAAATTCTTTTTGGACCATAAGCGTCGGTTTATCGATTAGTTGGATTACCAGCCAGGCAATACATCCCGGATCAGTCCAGAGATTCGTGGCGTTACCGTCGTACAACAAGGCCAGGAAGACGTTAATATACTTCATTCTTGGCTTGGGAGTGGTGAAAATATTGACGGGTTTAATCGGAATACAGATATACACAAAATACAAAGATTGCGACCCCGTCACGGCCGGCGTGAGTCTCTTAATTTAACACCAAATCGAGGATACGATTACGGTAAGAACGAATTTTACTTAATATTTTGATGAACTTTTCTCTGTTGATTTTTCTTTCAGTACATTAAAGACAATAAAAATCTTCTACCATATTTTGTGATGGACGTAGCGTCTAAAATTCCCGGACTCACTGGTCTCTTCATTTCTGGAATAGTCAGCGCGGCTCTAAGGTCTGTACCCACTCCGTCTACATTAGCTGCTTGTTTTCATAACGTCTTTTCTTGACACAGTACAATGTCAGCACAACTCAACACCGTCTCGGGAACGATTTATGAAGACTTTATTGTAAAAATGATGGGCTTTGAAATTACCCAGTCGACAGCCAGCATTATTATGAAAGTTATCGTGGTTATCGTCGGGATAATATGCGTAGCTCTTGTGTCAGTCGTTGAAAAACTTGGCGGCATCCTTCAGGTGAGTCTGTTCGAAAGTTATCACGAGTACCGGTTAATAAAAGAAACACTCATTGTTTTAAAATAACCTTCTCAATTTTACCGATAAGCTTATAAATCCATCGTAGTAGTCTTCGTTTTTTCGCGTAGATGGCGAACAGCTTGTGCGGGGTCACGGATGGACCGTTATTATCAGTATTCACGTTGGGAATATGTTTTCCTAAGGCAAATTCTAGAGTGAGTGATCTAAGCATAGAGTACAAAAAAACAACAATATAAGTAAATTTTTTCAACATTTTTTTTTAAAACCTTGGAAGTTATACAAAAAATCAGCTGAAATTATATAACATCCTAGTTTTCCTATTACTCTTCATGTGAAAATTATGTTCTTAACCGTTAACGATCCATCTAACTTTTTCAGTACTATTTATATCCTTATGTAATCAAATACAATTTTATTCAATTTAACATGTTCGATTATTTTTTAAATTAATAATGATATATTTTAGGGAGCGCTGTGTGGGATGGTAGCCAGTTTAGCAGTAACGTCTTGGATTGTTTACGGTGCTCAAATTGCAATAACGAACAAGAATATTCAATTCACTACAAGAGCAGTGTCGGTATCCGGATGCCCAGCTAATATTACCATTCACAACAGTACAGATTATACAGGGTAATATATTGAAAAATACACGGGTCTTTTAAATATTAGAAACCTGCGCAACATACCAAGGGTTGGCTTTATGGAGTTATCGTTGATATAGCGATTTTGACATGTATAGCACGAGAGTGAAGTGTTGCGTATTTATTTAAACAAATAATGGAAGAGGTATACTAAAAAATAAAATATAGAGATTGTATTAGGGTATACCTACGTAGAAGAGGTAAATAGGGAGGACTATTTTGACTATAATCATTTCATTTGAATACATTATTTCTCTAAAGGCTGTACCGTATGAACGATGATGTGTACGTGAGTCCGGATGTACCAAAGATCTACACGCTGTGTTACAATCATTATAGTACTTTGGGCATGTTGATCGGCTTAGCTGTAGGACTGGCGGTCAGTCTAATCTTCCCGACCGAGCAAGACTACGACCCTAAACTGCTGACTCCTTGCATACGGAATTTCGTGTTTACCAAGTACACGGCACATACCAAAAAACCTGAAGACGGAGAGCCAACAGCCGAAGAGTATGCACTGGTACAAGATACTCAATTGTGATATTTTAACGGAGATATCATTACATTTTTAAAAATAATCATTGTCGATTGTATACACTAGTCACTATATGAATGTTGTAATCAGGAGTGGCTTAATAATGTTGAAATTTGAAAAAAAACTTCAAATTGTTTTATAAGGGTTTTCCCATTTGAAACAAATGGACTTTTTATCTTAATTAAATTCACACTATAAAAAATAATTATTTGGTTTGTTGCTTTTTCGGACACTCGATTCGGGTAAATTACCTCGATCAATAGAATTTTTATAGATAAGATATCTTTACACATACTAATTCATTAGATGAATACATTAGTATCAAGGTAATTTGATGAAACTTCACTTAGATTGTGTTTAATTAAATACCTACATGTGTAAATAACAATATCTACCCACGTAGCAACTTAGAAAATAGTAGCCAGTCAATACAATAAACAAAATAAAATAAATCTTGTGCTATCATTGTCGAATGATTCAATCCGAATTATCGATCACACAAAAAAATTATCCTCTTAGACCAGCATTCGAATATAACTTAAATAACTTCATTGCCTTTTTTTCTTATTATTTTTTTTTATGCAGTGCACGTGTAGAAACATCTAAAAAATAAACAGAAAAAATGAATTTTAAAAATACAAATTGGTGAGGACTTTTCTCACTGAAAAAAAAAATACTTACGATATATTTACTGATTAAATGATAAGACAATAAAAAATAAATAAAGAAAATTACTATTTTTACCTAATGAATTTCATGATTATCAATTTAAAAATTAAGCCAAATGACAGTAGTGTTGGTTCTTTAATTTGATTTTTGTTTTTATTCTCTTGATTGTAAATAACATAAAAACTAAGAACACATTTAAAAAGAAAAATGTATCAACTGCTATACCACCGTGGTTGAAAATACTTGTTAATAAATTTGGATCAACAATAGTATGGAACATTAAATTATCTAAAATTAAACAAAACAGAATAAGAAAAAAAGTATTTATTATTTTTTAATTTGATGTTTGTTTATAAAAAAATACATATATTTTACCAGTGTAATATATACTCCGGGCACTTTAAGAAGATACATCGTCGAGTCGACATCGACCAGTTCCCACCCAGCAACATCCTTGAGATCCTTGACATTAATAAGCGTACAATTAATTCTGTATAAAAATAGCCCACAACCAAAACGCTCTGTTTTTCAAAAATATTTTTTTTAAATCTTTGTTAAATTGTTTGTTGTGCAAACATCCGGCAAACAGAGCCCCAATTTCAGTGTAGTCTGCAAAAAAAGAATAATCTATTTTTATTTTAATATACTTTAATCTATAAATTCAGTGAAAAAATAAAAAATACTTGCATCAATTCGTTTTTTAAGGTGTTACTGATTACGTGCAACATAATAACTAACTTGAAACGGTGGTGAATCATCAAAATTTCTATTGTAAAGTGACAAAAATATACTCTTAACTCCTAGCCAAATCCTATTTTGATTTAAAAAACCCGGTTTTGGTTCTCCACTTGCATCCAAAAAACTTGAACAAAAATTATACATAAATATTTTCCCTCGTATAAAATGAGGATGACGATAATGTGGGCTAGTAAAACTACTAAAAGACTAATAACATTTTTTTGTTCTTACTTTTTTTAACTCCCTTGCTCTCTTTTATTGATAGCAACATGAAAAATGTCCTATTCATAAACTTAAATATTATAATATTCGCGACTCAGCTGCAACAGCATAAGGTGGCAGAGCAGTCCTGAAAATATTACTATCATTATGTTCCCCGGATACTCGACATTTATAAACAAAAATTATAATGAATAACATCAGGATATTTATAGTCTTCATTTAAATTTTTATCCTGAAGCAATATCAAATAATAAAAGTAAATATTGTAAACTTCTTTCATATTTTATAACCGATTATATATACGAATAATTTTAATTTTTAATTAAATTGTTTAAATATAAACAGAAAACATAGCTGCTGTTGTTGTAGATAAATGATAATATTATTATCACAAAATGTTATTATGTGATAATATTATCTTCCATGATAATAACAATATTGATAATTAATGATAAGCATTAAGCATCGTTGAGAAAGTTAAAATATTCAAATTCATTAAACCGAACTACGAAGTACGACGAAATTTTGATTTATTATGTAATTGAAATTGTGTGTGAAATACTTAAAACCTTTAATGTTGTATTATATTATTTTTTAATTGAATCGGAACGCTATGACTGACAACCAAAACGAAACGCAATCCAGACTGTATTTTTACAATGAACAGCTACAAAAAATGGTTAAAGAGTTGCCAAGGTGAGTTGGTCTACTCATTAATGTTAAGTACAATTTATTTTTTTAATAATAACTTTTGATTAATTACAAGTAACAACCTTTCATTCTGACCGCTGTGTATTGGCATCTTGTTTTCAGAAAATATCAACAACGTATTCCAAACGAATTACTTTGCGAGTTGGCTGAATGTCTTCTTGACGAAACGTTATATAGCATCGTAAAACAACTTACAGATATACAACACGTCACTGAAAAACAACTTTTTCAAAAAAGATTAGAAATTATTAATACACATTCAGGTATTGTATATAATATTTTATTTTAATCAATTTCAATTTCAGTATGTTTATCAATTAAATACATAGCAATTTATATTATGTTAACGAGTGACTCCTGTACAATTTAATGGTCCAACCCTCGTTAATGAGCGGCTTATTTATGAACATTGCAATTATATGTAATTTTAATAACCAGTATTTTCTATTAATGTTGCTGCAAAATGTTTGGTTGAAAATTTAAATATTTTTTTTTTTTTAGTCAGTATACAAACTTTATTAAAATCGGACAAAGACAAACCTGGTAAAACAGAGATGCGTCTTCAACTTCAAGCAGACCATAGAAAAAATCTCAGAGAATTTGATAAAAAAATAATTAACGAACTCGACGAAAAAGTAAATAAATTTAAGTGTTTTATATTAAATTTTTTTTTTAACTTTTAGGCATACAGGCTTTATTTTTGTACAAAAGCATAATATGGATTGTTCGAAATAGAAATATTTCCAACAATTCCTATTCTGAAATATTAAAAAAAAAATTTGTTGTACTTTTAATAAAACTAAAACAACAAAAAAAAATTAAAAACCAGCACATTTTGTTTGAAAAAACTACCCCTTTGATAAAAAAAAAAATATAGTGATAAAAATTCTAAGTGTAAGTGACAAGTTAAATTGTTATTTATTCTATATATAACGCCAAGACTAATTAGTTTGTAATAAGTAACATACAACATATTTTTAGTTAAAATAATTTATATGTATATTTTACTCATTTATTTTCTTATAGCGACGTGAACAACAAAATATTTTACAAATGGCGGGAGTACCGGGGTTTGAAGAAACTGATGATCCCAGTCGTATTCAAGTACAAATACGGCTCTGTGACTTTATCATACGGCTTAGTCAAATCGACAAAAAGGAAGTGACCGATAGTTGATGACAAATTGAAAAAAAAACAATGACAATTTAAATTAAAAATTAATACAATTTCTCCGATATGAGTACTTATCTGGTTAAATCATTTTTTTTATAATTAATTCTACAATGTACAACTTACCAGTATTAATAAATAAATTGTAAATTTGTTTGTTTTGTTATAGTAATAATAAATAGTTAAAATTAACTTTTTTTGTTGTATAGAATAAAATTTTTATTTTACTAATTTTTTGTGTCGTCGTAACGTTTTCAATACCATTTTATATACATAGAAAATTTCAATTTTATGTTAACGATCTAGTATCTTTTCGTCTCTAACATCTATTATAATTAACTATTATTCTTTTATATAGTTTATTTTATAATTACCCGCTTTTTGAATTATTTATCTGTATGTAAATTAATTAAATAGTATACCATGTCTGTGTGGCAACTAGTCTAATGAGCCGTCCACTTTATACTCGTACATGTATCAGTTTAACTATATTTTTTTTTTAAATTTAGACCATACAAATATTGTATTTCTCCATGTACAACAGCTATTGACTGATCTCCTGGGCTTGACGATGTAATTCATTTTTAAAAAATCGTTATCTATATAAAATACACATATGCCAAAAATTATAATGTTTTGATGTTAAAATTAACAATTTATTTACTGAACCTCTGAACTGTAGATTTTCTTAGCTTGACTCGAGTGATTTTTTTTCTTAGCGTTTTGTGTATTTGAACTATGAAATACAAATTAGTAAGACATTCTTAAAATACAAACTACAAAACGTACAAATTATCAAGTACCTACACTTGCTAATGATAAATTACAGTAAAACTATCTTCATCATAATTTTTAGCTATAGCTCTATTGCAACATCCATATTATGAGACAAAAATTGATTTATAACAAAACTATGACCGATAATTATTTTGGTTTCGTCAATTCTTATTTCTTAATTTTAAATCTCAAAATAGGCTTTCCACATCCAACAAAATTAACAATGTGCTTTTTAATGTGAGCCATTTAAAAGTTTGTACCATTTCCTGAGAGGAGTTCAACTTAAAAAGTATTAAATTCTTAAAAAAACTCACCAAAAAAAAAAAAATGGATGTCATTACATTAGAAAAATAAAATCGTTAAAAAAAATAGTTGGTCTATTTGTTTTAAATCTCAAAAATGATTACATTTTTTAATTGGATTAACGAATGACAAATAAATATTTAATCGGGACTTATTTCGTTAGAACTAAAAATCCATTTGTTTAATTAGTTTCGGCTTCAATGTGAAGCTGAGGAGTAGGTATTGTTTTTTGACTCTAAAATTCGATTTCTTATAAAATCAGTTATAGTCAAACCAATCAACTAATTACAAAATTATTTAGCTGAAAACAATCATCGTTGGCAAATTTTATTAAACAATGTACTTTACAATACCATTTAGTTAATTGACGTAAGGCGATTAATTAAAACATCAATTTCATTTTGATTAAAATTTTAATTAACCGAACTAATTCGTTATAATTGAACGGTTCATTTTATAATTACAACTAAGCGTAGGTATAAATAATACAATGAATTTCGAATTTGGTATATTGGCTAAAATGACACGTTTTACACGTAAAATTATACTCATTAACATATCAATAATTATTACATGTTTCAGTTGATGAACTCGGAGTACACATTTCATTTAATTATATATAAATAAATCGTGTACATTTTTTTATTGTTTTTTATAAAACAATATTTGCGAAATGTCTCAAGTGCTATTTTAATCTTCTTCAACGGCGGACGACCAATTATGGCGTTTGCCGTTATAAATATATATCATTATATGTGTATGTATTCACAAGTCTTTATAATGTAACTCTATCGCTTAGTTATATAATAAAATACGTTTAAGTATGTGTTTTATATATTAAATACACGCACAGATATGTACTTACTGCTATAAAACATTCACAAAATTAATTTTCATAACATTTTTATAATAAGAATGTGTTGAAACTTTCGCGGATTGAAATATCACATGCTTGATTTTCGGATATATCCGCGTCAATGGTTGTTAACCGACGTTTCGGACCCTTTGCAGGGTCCATCTTCAGGGTCATGTCACGACTGTTCCGCTGCCGTGACTGTACTGACCGTCTCACTCGTTTCCTACCTCTAGTAACTTGGCAATACTTTACCATTCTCATTTTGTGTTAAGGTAGTAAAAGATATGAACATGTTTTCACTAAGCGAGTTTAATGATAAAACTATTTTAAAAAACCCTTTAAGAAGCCACTAAACATAGGGGAGGTTAGGTTTATTTAAAAAGGTTTGAATGGTCTAAACTCTACAAGACATACCAACGGTGGTTAAGATTATTATGAAAACATTTTACTAGCGGCCTTACATTGATTGGAAACGTTGTACACGCTTGTCGTCAATTGTCAAAGCGTTTAAACTTATACAATACATTTAAAGTATACTATTTGTGTACTTTATTATTTTTACTATGATTTAGGACCTGTTCAAAGGTATTATTGTATTATCGCAATGGGAGATAAAATTATAAATTTCGATTAAGATTTCAGATGTAACAAAAAAACTCTGTTTTCGTTTTTGACACAATTTTATATTTTATAGGTTTTCTTATATGACCTAGAGTTTACAATTTACAGGAAACCCAAAGATTTTGGCATCGCTTTAATATAGGTTATATTATATAATGAGCTACGCTATAACGGACCAAGTAGAATCAGCCGACTAATTTCCGCTGTAATATTATTATATATTTAAATTTATAATATTATGGTTAAATATAATACCAAGAGTCACAACTTTTTAGAAACAAATTAAATTTAATATACCTGATCAGTATATTATTTAACATCGGGGTAAAGCCCCTGTCCTGTTTTATTCAGTTACCTACTTAATTTCATAAAACACTATACATTTTTAGAAAGTTAGAATACAAAATTATGTGGCCATAGATGTGGAAAAAGTATTTTACAATTTTTAGCTTCTATGTTTTTCACTTAATATATGACTTATAACAACTTGAAAAATACAAATTAAATACAGTTTTGGCATTTTGTCAAGTATATTTATAGTTATTGTTTGTTTGGAAATAAAATAAATGTTATATTTGTAGTTAGTTAGTTAAAGGTAGCCATAGGCGGGGTCTACATCTCGTATGGTAATGACTAATGAACAATTTTTTTTTACAGTTAATGAAAAAAATGTAGTTAACATTTTTTTTTTTAAAACGCGGTCGTTCATTTACCATTATATACTTAATGTAATATTAGATGCGTCCACCGCCTTATATTTTTGTTAGTACTGTATTTCGGAAAATAATAGCTGTTAAATAAAGGATGTGGACTGTATAAGTCTCAAACTAAATAAAAACAAAAATGAGTATTGGTATGCAAAACTAACTACTATTCAAAGAGAATACTAAAACTATTTACAAAAAAAATGTCTTACCTACTGGCCAGCTCTCTATGACATAAAACCAACTTAAAACTAAAATATATATACAATAAATATTTACAACGATTGCATAGAACTAAACGGATTAGGTCAGCAGATTGCAGACTGCACGGACATTCAACTGTTATTAAAAAAAACCTAACTCAAGTTAATTTAATTTCACTTTTAAATTTTACCAGTTGTTTTTTTATAAGATAACTTTAATATAAACAAATATTTTCAGTCTCCATTTGGTATTCTTTTTTCATTCATTGTTCGATTACATTTCATTAAATTGTTTTAACGACCTAGTGTGAAACAGAAAACTGAAATTGGTTTGTAATTTTTTCTTGTAAAACTTGCCTTTATACTTTTTCGAAAGAGATAGGTATAGAAGTAAACTGAAAAATTAACTACTTTATTAAATAAATATATTATTATTATTATCGTACAATTTCCAGCAGTCCCTTACCAGTGAAATGTCTATGAATAAAGTTTAGGAATTCATTTAAAGTTATATTATTTACTATGTGCCCATTGACGACTAAGCATGTTATCACAATTGACATTCATTGTCTCAATTAAAACCAAAGAAAAATTTCCAAAAGTTATCAGTTCTGAATATTCGTTATTTTCAACTGTCATACAAAACCAAAAACAGAGATAAAATAATTGTATGTATAATTATAAACTCCAACGTTGCTTATTTAGGCAAATCACATCGTTTTGGCGAGTTGTTGGCTGTGGATATATTATACCACTCGTCACACATACACAAACACATACTTTATAAGTTATATTTACTAATGAAGATATGAGTGTGTGCAATGTACATGCCATGTTTTAAAAGTGTATACACGTGTGCTCTGTAAGAACAAATGACGTCTCGATTTGGTCGTCCAAGCTCTTTGCAAGAAACAGGATATTAATAATAATCCATATTCCATAACGCTAACATTATTATTTTTTTTTAATTAATTTAAATTTACATCTATTTATAGGTTTTGACTTAAAGCCTAACTGATACATTTTCTTAGTTAAAAAAGGTGTACAAAATTTTGTTTTTAAAACAGTAAAATGTACACTGAATTCCTAGCCAGGTCAACAATTGATCAACGACTCTGACCATAATTTTCCTAATATCTTATCATGATACTTATATTTATCAATAATTTTTTTAGCATACCAAAATTTGCAGTGTTTTTTTTTTTTTTTTAAAGAATGCATTAAAATTTGCGCTATACTGAAGGGTAATAACTATGAAATATAAGTCAACTAGAATTATTTATTAACAAACAATATTACAATACCGCAATTCAAATAGGCAAATGCTTAAGCTCTAAAAAACGGTTAATTTTGAGTAATTTTTTTTTCTTTAAAATCAAAGATTTAGTATACTACCTATTGAAATTTTGAAAACAAATTTAAAATATAAATTACAAGAAATGTACAAATTACAGACATATCTTTTAATAAATATCCAACTTTTTTATTAAATTTGTAGAATTTCCAGCACTATATTTACTTCCCTAGCATTATTTAAATTTGACCTTTTTTTTTAGTTTATAAAAAATGACATTCTATATGAGAGTATAAGGTATAAAAAAAAAGGTTCGTTTGTTTCATTCATAAATTAATTGCTACCCAACGCCCGCCAGCCAATCAGTAACGAAATAAAGTTTATTTACTTTGACAACATTATTATCTTTTGAAACATTTGTTTTTAATAACATTTACAAATATATGCTTAATAGTCATAAAAATATGTAAATTTCATAACTATAGATAATATTTCGATTTGAAAAAAATTACACAATTACCTATTTTTTAGCTTTAAAGCAAGTTCTTTTCTTAAATGCATTTTTATTAATTTTATGATAACATTAGAAATTGTCTAAAGTTTAAAACTTTCGACTGGGTTGATTAAATAATGTAATAACAAGCCTTTTATGGGAATCGCCTAATTGTTTTTTTTATTTGTAGTAGTTTCTTCAATAGTGTGTAAAAAATGTAGCTTTATAAGAGGTAATTACTTGCATCCGCGCACATGTAGTCTTACAAGTTATCTGTTGGCAAAATCTCTAAGCGTATGGTGAGCATTTTAAACAATTATAGTGGTTTTTTTTTAAGATTTAGATTTTTAAATATTTTTATAAGAACTAGATATTGTAAAATTTATTAAAATTATTAATGACGATTTGTAATACAATATTGAACGAAGAAAATTTACCCTACACCCGATTTTAATGTATAAATTTAAAACATATTAAAATATATTCTCCTGGAAACATATCATTTTAGTAGAAATAATTGTCTAAATATATCTAATTTATTTTGTAATGGACAAAATTTGAAAGACAGTCAATAATGAATATGATAATTAAAAATCGAATTCAAAGTGACAAGCACCCACATAAATAAACTTAGCATAATATAATATAAATAAATTGAGAAGAATACAAATATTATTACTGATAATTAATAACGTTTACTATCCATTTCACTTTTAATGACTAGAAAAAATTATAATCCAACAACTGTTTAATAAATGAAACACTTATTAATTAGGGGAACGATACGAGAGTAAGAAGTAAGCCATACAACATTTTTCAATTGTTAAAACTAATTGTTTCAACATAGTGACTCAATCAAATTTTAAATGGTTAAAAAATTAAGTTTTATTAAAAGTTTAATGAACCATTTTTCAAGTATTAATTTACGACCGTTTTACAAAAGTTTAATAAACATTTATTTATTAGAAATTAGAAATTTAATGTTAAGATCTTAGCTTTTAGATAATGTTAAATACACTTTCAAGTTGAAACATTGAAATCCCGTTAAAAAATAACTTAATTATTTAGCGTACAGCAATTCATATTTGTTATAAATGTTATGTAATATTTATTTATTAAATATTATACCAACAAGTTACATTTTAAAATAGAAAAGTTTAGTATAAATTGTGGGTTTGACAAATTTTTTTATATTTAAGTTTGGAACCCGGGTAAAAAAAATTGCTATTATCAAACTTTATTTTACATTTAACAAACCTAATATTATTATAGTTTTTTTAGAATGTGTGTTTTCCTTTTTTTGCCAACGATTAACGGTATACGAAAACAAACAAAAATAGACTATAAAAAATGTAAATGTATTTTTTGTTAATAATCAACAAATAACAATGTTTTATTGATAGTGCATCTGATTTAAAAGCGAGTCGATAAAAATTGAATATTATAAATTATTTTATTTTAAATTTAACATATTTTTTCTATTATTTGAGCCTATGAAAAAATATATATACATATTATATAAGTACATTACTAACCGCTTAAACCCGGCATTAGAAATTCGCGCCTACGTTCGCGTACAATTTTAGTATGCGGCTCGTTAGCGAGTGCTGCAGTGCGTTAGGACTTGTTGCGTGCGTGCCAACGCGTCGAGCAATTGCCTACGTTTTTGGTCCGTTAAAAAAATAACTTGTACGGCTTGTACGTAGCAATAACTTAAAATGCGTTAATTTGTGTTTTATTTTTATTGTACTCCCCTCGTCTAATGTATAGTATACCAGTTTTTATTGAAATCGTACTCGTTACAGTCTACAAGTGTACTCGTAAGTAGGTACAGTACACTTGTGTTGATAACAAATTTCGGTAAAAAAAATTCAAAAATATTGTAGAATCACTAAAATTATTATTTAAAATAAAATAAAAAATACTGACTATAAGAAACGAAAATCGTAGTCAAACGTGCAGTGATATAGTTATTATTGTACTACTTAAAAACTAAAAAACACTGAAAATGCACACGAATCGTGTACCAGAGTGATTTTGGACGAACTGATCTTGGGTCGCAGCACAGCGTGAAAAGGATCAGAAGCGCAGCTGTTGTGGTTTACATGCTCTTGTAAACGTCATTGCCGCATAAGTAAATCGGCCGAGAACGTCTGGGAATAGTAAAATGGATCAAAAACCGACTCTTTGGCAACGGTCCACATACCTCTCCCACTAAAACATAATATACACCGTAGGCTAAGTCTGTATACACACACACACACCGTCGTCGTCGACTTAAATAGTATTGTATATTGTTGTGTGTGTGTGTGTGTGTGTATTATGCAGTGAAATCTCACAAACTCGATGAAATCTCTCACTGAAAAAGCTATTTCGATAGACACTGTGGAAACATTTTTTTTTTACAGATTGCCAAAAATCGGTTAACAATAACATTACCATATGTATAATACAGATAGAGAAACACTTTAAACGTTTTTTTTAAGTATTCCTGTGCTGCATAATACGAGTCGCTCAAATGCCTCAACTCTCAAGTAATAAAGCAACAACAAAAAGTACTATTCCCATAGAAAACGGTCATTTCATGTGTGATAAACTTTATATAATTATGCTTTTCAAATAATTAATTCTAGACGGTTAGTGCGGTTGTCTGCTTTGGAGAAATTCTAAAGTAATAATTATATTATTATCGTCGTAAGCTTAATAGGCCTTTGAGGCCCCACGCTACCATCACGAGATGATAGCAATAATTATATAATATTGTGTAATAAATCATAAATGAATACGCCACAAAAACATCCCAATAATGATCTGATATTCCTTAAAAATACATGTTTATCAAAAGTCCACTCTGAAATAAAAATGTTATTATAAAACAAACATGGTATTTTACAAACTAGTAATAAAAAAAAAAATGTGACAAAATAATATATCCATTAAAAGAACATTAAATTAAATTATTATATAGAAAATATTGAGCCTATAATATAATTTCAAAAGTATTAGACGTAGAAAGGCAAAGGGCAAATCAACATCAGCTGTTGTTGATATAAAATAACATAAAAGTTGCCGAACAAAAAATTAAAACAAACAATTTATCAAGCAAGTAATTTTTAAATACTTCAAATAAACTACAAACAATGTTCATAAAATGCCTGTTAAAGGCATTTATACTTGTGTCGTCCGATTTTATATTGGATATAAACAGTTTAGAGAGAGAGATATAATTAGTTTCTTTTTATTTTCACATTTAATTCTAATTTGTCAGGGTATCTAAAATATCTGCAAAAATAAACTGAATATCGTCTTATAAAAAAAAAATATCCAAATATATTGTTGTTATTAATAATTAAAGAAAATTACAAAATGACTACTTTTTAGGCTTGAAGGCAAGTCGGGAGTATCTCAACCATTTAGATGCTCCTCGTTTCGCCACTAAAAATAATATCTTGAATTACTTTAGATAATCAACTGAAATTTAATTTTGTTTTATTACTTATCTAAATGCTTAACAATGAGTTCAAGTACTTTGTAATTGACCCAATTGTAGCAATATTTTATCTCACAATTGACTACAACTGAAAGTTTGTATTATCGCAAAACAAAAATTACCAATAAATCTTTAACTTCTCTTGTGCCACTATAAAAAAATAGCTCAACAAACACAATATGTACTTTTAAAATGGGTTTATTTGGCAACTGCAGCTAATATAAATTTGTGAATCATTCAACGAAAATTCCAACTGTTACCTTGAAAATGAAATAACTCAATAAAAACATTGTACCGAAATGTTTACTTAAGGAATAACTTTAGTTATTAGAATTTCATCAACGTTTCAAAGCTATTTATTACGTATAGGAATATTATAATTAAAATTTTCTTCTTAATTAATTTCTTAGTAAAATATAACAATAGAACAAGTACAAAGTTATGGTATGTTTGAGGTTTTTTTCTCTTGGTGTATTTTATTTCAATGTCTTCAAATGTGATACTTTTTGCCAAAGTTTTAATAAAACCCACTTTGGTAAAAAAAAAATCAGGTTAACGTTTAGACGATAATTTATTTTTAAAATTGTATCAAAACGACAAATATAAGAGTTGGCAATAACTCAACTTTTGCACAACTCAAATTAATGGATTTAATCATCATTTAATATTTTTATTTAAATTCAATTAAAGAACTTGTGTGACCATACTTGGTGTAAGCCCAAGGTAAGCCATGTTTATCTCATCCTCGACAGATTTGTATGGTTCAAGTGAAAATATTGTCCAGGGCGACTTGAAAACGGGTGCAAAAAATTGTTAGGAATAAATTCTCAAAAAACTTTGTTGAACAGTAACAAGAGAATATGCCTAGAACTATAAAAAAAAAAGAAAAGATTAATTATTTAATCTAAGTCTAAGGAGAGCGGGTTCGTAAGAAAAAAAATAACCCAGAAATGAGAGTAAACCCATTATTTAAATATTATTGTTAACCTGCGAATAGTAGCCAAAAAACGGCTTTAACATGTTCACTGAGACCACACTGAGGGCAGCTTAATGGAACATCCAGTACGAAATACATACCTACCGTTATGCCATAAAAATCATACTTAGGGTATATGTTGGATTAACTAAGTGTTAAATATCTTTAAAGACTGTTAAATTTAATTTAAAAAAAACAAAACAAAAATTATATATTATACTTATACCCTATTGATTTTGAACCCTTCAAATTAAAAATTAATTCCGTACTGAATGCCTAACCTAACTGGAGTTATTCGTGTTTTGACTTTGAACTTGGTATTTATTTTTTTTTTACTATTTAAGAATATTTACCATTTTACACAATGTTTAATTACTTGGAGCAATTGTGATTAATTCCAACTTTAGAAAATGGAAAAAATCGATATTTCGTCGATTAAATAAAAATAAGTTTTGACGTAAAGCAAAGTTTTGTAAATGTACTAAAAATGCATTTTCTCTCATTGAAAATCGAAAACAACAAACTATACAATTAGGAATAGGCATTAATATCTGAATTCCCTCCACGCTATCCCTTTTAAGCTAGGTAAACAATATAAGGTATATTAGGTAATGGCTCACCAACTGCGATGCAGAAAGCAAGAGGAAACTACTGCATTAACTTCCTGAGGATAATGATGAAATGATGATGATTGTAGAGGTAAAGAGTCCCCCATTCGGATCTCCGGGTGGGGACTGCCAATACAAGGTCGTCAAAAGAGAGGACGAAGAGGAGAATTTCATCATTCAACCAATCTACGGATTGAAAAAAAAAAAAAAAAGGATTTTGTAATTTTAGATTTTTATTCTTTAACCCTTTCAGACCTGACTTTTTTCTGGTAATTTTTAGGTCGGTATTATTGTGTAATAACATGTGTATCTTCGTCATACTTCAAGTCCCCGCCGAAGGGGTTCTGGATAATTTTAACTTTTCAAAACTACATAATATTATAGTAAATGTCCTTATCTTTCGAATAAGACTTAATTTGGGGGCTTTTAAGTTTAGCCTAATCAGAATATAAAACGGAGCTCCCTCCTCCCTCTTCGCTTCGGTGACGACCATCGGTCACATAAACTCCGCTTATGGCCGTCATATTAAAGCCAACCCCGAGGAAGGGCGGGCGCGCGGTACGTTTGGCCGTCCAGGTTGGCGGTGGGTGCCGGTGGTTGGTACGGGCGTTGCGGTGTAAAAATAAGACGTATAATATACGGGCCGCGCGTACAACAAGTTAAACAACTATATAAATACAATAATGGGTCATTGAAAAATCGCGTGGACCAAGCAGCAGCCGCCGCCGCCGCCGTTGTAAAAATAGATGTAAACAAATCGAAGCGAACAAGTTTTAATCCCGAATTTCGGATAAGACCGTTATAATATTTTGATGTGGCCCCTCCCTGTTGCCCTCCCCTTATTTAAAAAAAAAATGAAAACCCAGCACAGCCGCCGAGTTGACCGCGATGGTGGGGGAGTGTGACGGCTGCCGATGGCCGAGGTCCGTCCAAGGGTCGCCGGCCGAGCCATATATGGCGGGCCGGCCGCGCAAAGGGCTGCGGCGCAACGGCAGCGCCCCGAAAATAGTGTTACGCGGTGGCCCCCGTCTGACATAGCCATGTATGGACGGCAGCCGGTATTTTTGGACCCGGCCGTTTATAAAACCTCCCGCACCGACGGATACTACGTTCATTAGCACAGTCACAGGATCAGCAGCCACACAGCCGCAGACCGTCCAGGATTTTTCATCGTACCAAGTAAGCGCACATCAGTATATTATATTATATTATACATACTTAGAAAACTTGCAAACGTTTTGATTTTTTTTCAAACAACAAAATATTTAAACCGGCGTTCCGGAGTTCGGTTTTTATTCAAAGTGCAAAGTGATTTTTAATTTTCTATAATTATAATATCGTTACGTTTCAACAAGAGTTATTGTAATATTTTCATTTTCGAATAAAATTAATAATATTGTGGATACCGCTTATAATTATTGTGAACAAGTTAAAATCAAATATTAAGTACGAACAACTCTATAATATTACATAGAAACAAGCGATGATTTAAAAAAAAAAAATGTGTTAATTTTTTTGGATACACTTAGCCATACTGTTAATTTTCGACAAGCGATTGATCAAGTTTATAAGCGGCACCCACTTGTATTTAATTGTTAGGCGGTATAGAATTAAATTGGTTAAAATAAATTAATAGTTTACTACATTAGTCATTAACGAAACTAGTTTATGTTCATACAAAGACAATTGAAGGCATCCGATCGACACGCCGGTTACGTTCGATTCACAAAAGTTATCATAAAGAGAGAAAAGTTATTTAAAAAAATATATATTTCTAAGTCATGGTCGCGTCATTGCTGTCGTGACACTTTGATTTTAGTTTTAGTTTTTGACGACTTTTTTTCTTATAATTTGTTGATAATTTGATAATATGATAATTTTGGTAGATTGGAGGCAAACGGATCTCTTTTTTATTTTTTTTTTTGAAAACGGAAAACACTTTAGAAAACGGGGTTAGATTTCTAGGGACTTGGGCCACTGTGATATTGTTTGTTTTTTTCGACTTGTTAAACAGCGTTTCATATTTCTGACTGGTTTTGTTTTATTTAGGTAACGTAAACCGAAAACAAAATGTGTGACGACGATGTAGCAGCTTTGGTAGTCGACAACGGCTCCGGTATGTGCAAGGCTGGGTTCGCCGGAGATGACGCACCCCGTGCCGTGTTCCCGTCCATCGTGGGAAGACCCCGTCATCAGGTTGGTATACAAAATATTTACAAAGTGTAGACTTCAAAGTCCGTTTGGGAAAATGGCCGTTTAAAAATAATAATAATTACTTCACCGTCGCCGCCGAATCGTTGACCATTTATGGTAACGTCCCGAAAATAGGACAAGTGGCTCGCCCACCAACAGGGACCGTCGGCAGGCCCTGTGCCAACCGTGGCCGCCGCTGGCACGGTGTAAAAATAAACCTGTCCCGTCAACAGCTGGGACGCGGCGCCGCGCCGCTCTGTGCGGGAGCCAAAAAGTTTCTCGATTTTGTAATATTATTATTACACATAACGTGCGTTCCTTGATAGTTATTTTTTTTTATAACCGCTCGCGTCCCCTCGGTTTATTCCGTTTTATTATTATTTTATTTTCTTATATAAAAATAGACAATCCAACGTGTCTGGAGGGACTCGGAGGGGGTCTGGAACGCAATCCAGAAATAACACTACCGTTTGGTCGGATCGGTACACACATAATAATATTATTATGCATATTAAATCGGATCCAGTTAATGAACATTTTATCTTTTTTTAAGTTTAAAACTCAAAATAAATTTACTTAATTTCGTTAAAAATATTTATTAAAATATAATTCGTTTCTCGATTATTTAAATATTTAAAAAAAAATTGTATTGCCGATGGCCATTTGTAAAGGCTCTCTTCTTATATTTTACTTACCGAACGGGTTAAACACGATTACGGTTCGGCGAGTCCAAAGACATTTAAACGATATAATATAATTTTTAAATGAAACAAATGACACGAACACGGTTGAAATCGAGCGGTATACTTGAGCCGCGCTTAACAATATTATGTCCGAGCGATAACCGAATCCTAAAACGGTTAGGGCGCGAATTCTCTTTACACTTATATCTGGGCCGAATGCATTTTTAAAGTTCAATAATTAATCTATTAACTATTCTTATAAAGACAACAATTTATAGTATATTTGCACAACAATAGGGAGACTTGTTTATTTTGTTTCGTTGAATTTCCGCAACATTATGTCGATTATTTTACTAGGGATATTAAAATTTTAGTTCTAAAATTCTAAAATGCTGTCATATTACGAACTGGGTCTAAAGTTTTGTTTCATTTTGCTACTAGCAATTTTTTTACCTTGAAATCCCGCATTTAGAGTGGAGTTATTTTTGGCCGGAGGGTTGGTTTTTTTAAGGGATGTGCGTTTTTGGCACCCCCTTTTGGGTCTGCGGAGAACGCACGTGCGGTTCGTTTACTAACCCGTTGGATGTTCACTGTTCGTTTAGGGAGTCATGGTCGGTATGGGACAAAAAGACAGCTACGTAGGAGACGAAGCCCAGAGCAAACGTGGTATCCTCACGTTGAAATACCCCATTGAACACGGTATCATCACCAACTGGGACGATATGGAGAAGATCTGGCATCACACTTTCTACAACGAATTGCGTGTGGCCCCAGAAGAGCACCCAATCCTGTTGACCGAAGCCCCGTTGAACCCGAAGGCTAACCGTGAAAAGATGACCCAAATCATGTTCGAAACTTTCAACACACCCGCCATGTACGTCGCCATCCAGGCCGTGCTCTCCCTGTACGCTTCCGGTCGTACCACCGGTATCGTCTTGGACTCCGGTGACGGTGTCTCCCACACCGTACCCATCTACGAAGGTTACGCACTGCCCCACGCCATCCTCCGTCTGGACTTGGCCGGCCGTGACTTGACCGACTACTTGATGAAAATCTTGACCGAGAGAGGTTACAGCTTCACCACCACCGGTAAGTAAAAAAAATCCGAGACGGCCGCCCCCGGTCGGACGGTTACGACCGCCAAGCGCTAACACGTTTTCTATTGTACGATTACAGCTGAAAGAGAAATCGTCCGCGACATCAAGGAGAAATTGTGCTATGTCGCCCTGGACTTCGAACAAGAAATGGCCACCGCCGCGGCTTCCACCTCGTTGGAGAAATCCTACGAATTGCCCGACGGACAGGTGATCACCATCGGAAACGAACGGTTCCGTTGTCCGGAAGCCTTGTTCCAACCGTCGTTCTTGGGAATGGAATCTTGCGGTATCCACGAGACCGTGTACAACTCGATCATGAAGTGCGACGTCGACATCAGGAAGGACTTGTACGCCAACACCGTACTGTCCGGAGGTACCACCATGTACCCCGGTATCGCCGACAGGATGCAAAAGGAAATCACCGCGTTGGCTCCCAGCACGATCAAGATTAAGATCATCGCCCCACCCGAACGTAAATACTCCGTATGGATCGGTGGCTCCATCTTGGCCTCCCTGTCCACCTTCCAACAGATGTGGATCTCCAAACAAGAATACGACGAGTCCGGCCCAGGAATCGTCCACCGTAAATGTTTCTAAGCCATCACCTCCCATAACACACAAAATCAAAAATCACAATCACGCTTTATGTTCATTTATACTGAAGAAAACATATACTACGTTTTCTTTCTATTTGTACATATCGAGACGATTCGCGTCGTTTTACACGGGGATAAAATAACAGTTCGATTATCGGGGAAAAAAACATGTATTTATTAGCACGTTAATCGTTTCGAATAAACGTTTCTATACTATACCGGTTGTACGTTTTAATCTTTATTATAATATGCCAAACTACTCCTCTTGGTGTTCACCATGTTTTTTCTATATAGCTCATTACGAAATGGTGTGAGTTTCACAGTCGAAATGGTAAAAGGCATCAATGCCTCAATTTGCTGCAAACCACTGTACTCAAAATTGCAATGTGTTTTATATATTTTTTCTTTCCTTGTAAATGCCTACCTTTGGTCCGTCAAGACCGCCGTTTTTAGACATAACTAATAATTTTTCGGTTTGGATTACAACGTGAAAAGAAGTAAGATTTTGAAATATGCATAGTATCTTGATAACGAGGTCGCCATACAAGGTAATCTGCTAAGCATCTATTAATAATATTGGAACGAAATGGCTTCGTTTCCAAAAAGCAAACGGCGTGGCATCTTACAAATTAGATCATGTTTTGTTCTAAATTTAACACTTTGATTTATTACACGACACCTACTTGCTGATTAACATGCAATAATAATTTCAACAGCAATGTTGACACTATTTTTTAACGACGAACAAGCGGTAGTTATCTTATTTCTGTTAAAATTAATTAAAACTGATTTGAATTAAATTAATATTATATTTTATTTATAATATGATCATTATAAGTGACAGAAATTACATGATCACAATAATCGACATCGATTAAAGTAAGTATGGGTTATTTATTTTCATGTTGTGATAAATATATTTTTTTTCATACTAGTAATTATAATCTTCTAAGCTAAGCGTATACGACTATTTACCTAATAAACTATACATAAGTTTTCATAAATTGATTAAGTACTCATAAGTATCTTTTATCTTCTCTTCTAAACGCATTTACTTTTTAAAAAGATATTTAATTTAAGCTCGCTGTGTTACAGTTAAAGAAATATCTAATTAAAAATATAATTTATTAAACGTTTAAATGTAATAGTCCAATAAAAAAAAATCTAAGCTAAAATAATTTGATCTACATAAACAAATATCATAGAGAAAACTAATGATTTATTGCTTGGCTCATATGCCTCAAAATTCACACTAATCTTTTTAATGAAAACTTAAAATTTTTTTTCGAATTCGAGAGAGTGGAGTGGATTCTATTTTTGGCTCTTATTAAAAGTAGATAGTATTTGTATTAAATAAATTGTACTTCAAAATTTGATAACTAAGAAAATGCTCAAAGACATTATTGTAACCTACCTAATACATTCAACACAATTATTGTACTTAACCTAATCTAACTACCTAATCGGATACATTCTAAGCTAAAAATAAGTTTGTGTTTAAACATATATTATAAATAGTAGACTACCTACTTACTTATCATACACTTTAATAATGATAATTACGCTTATTAAAGCACCAACTACTATTTATTAGGTAGATAAATAAATGTATTACTTATTATTCATATTTTATAAGCAAATGTATATACTTATTGGGCTAACATTAAATGACATCGGGTATACATAAATGTTATTTTTACAGCAAAGACGTATTGTATTAGCGTCAATAAACTCCATATTAAATATACTGTACACATACCCATATAAATTGAATTTTTAAAATGTTTTAGTTCTACTTTAATTGATATTGTTACACTTAAACAAGGTAAACATAGTTATACATACTCATGTATTGTATTTACTTTGACATTTTTAGGTAAATGTAAAATGGTAATTAAAAAATAAGACGAACTCCTCCCTATTTTTAAAAAAAATTGTAACTTATTACTATTTAAAATAATGGTAATTAAATTATACTCTCTAACAACCTCTGTTTTATATTGTAAGGATTGTGAAACATATAATATAATTAAATTAATAATTATTCACTATTTTAGTTTAAAGAGAATATTGAAGTACAGGGTTTGATAATCGCATATTTAATTTTTACTTATCAACTAGAAGTAAATATTTTGAATTATTATGTATTATATTATTATAATTATATTTCATTGTAACATAACTTATAGGCTATGGATTACTTTTCTGATAGTAAATACCCTATTCAATTTGTTATGCATTCGTCATCAACCGGGATGCCTGTTTTTCATTTTTGGTCAAGTACAAATTAATATTTAGTTTTAATTATTTTACTAAAGTTATATTTGTTATATTGTTTGTTTTTTTTTTTTAATTAGATATACAGTTCTCTGGCGTGCAGTGTTTAAAGTGGTCGACGTTTCACTGTGTTGCACAATGGATTGGTAAGTCAGATTGATGTATCTTCAATTACGGCTGTTCTATATAAAAGTATAGACATTTTAGTTATTATAAATTAGAGTAATACGTATATTATTGGATTGTATTCTTACACGAACGTTCATTAAAGGTTTTGCTTCATTATTTCTACAACCCAGCAACAAAATTTATTTGAGTTTAATATTAACAATATATGCGAGAAAAGTAATAAAAAGTGAACTTGGTAAATACCTAAACGGCTGGATAGCGTTGTTAATAAATTTTGACCATATGTGGATATACCCTTAACGAGTTTTTTTTTTAGTCAATATCTAGCTAGAGTCTACAATTTTTCATATAATATAAAGCTCGTTCTATAGAATAGAATAGAATTGTTAATCAATCTACTAATTTAATTCACTAGATATTATTTGTACGTTTTAAATAGATATGACTTTAATAACAGCTAATAAACAAAATTTAATTCACTAGATATTATTTGTACGTTCTAAATAGATATGACTTAATAACAGCTAATAAACAAGCAATTACATTTTTGTATTATGACTATTATTATATTAATGTTGAACAAGGAAATAGATACAGTGTTTACTGTTGTGTTGATGTACCAGTCATTTCTATAGATAGCATTCAGATATTAGTTATTATTTTATAATAATCATTATAATACTTTTATAATATTAAGTCTTTATAGACTTCAAACAAGCTTACGATAATATAAACCGTAGTGAGTTATGATGAACTGTGCTAAAAAAATTTGGAATCTCAGAAAAACTTGTGAGATTAGTTATTACTTACAATGGGCAACAATACCATCTTAAGTGTTATTTGGTTAATGGGTAAAAATTCATAAACATTTGTAGTAAAAAAGGCCTTAGACAACGTACAGTACAGTTGGTGAAAAGCTCAAAATTAGTGTAGGGTGGACATGTTTGGAAAGTGGATGGTATTAGCAAATCAGATAGATCTAAAGACCACGTGGCAACAAAGAGGACTAGACACAGTAAAGAGGTCCTGATGGAGATAAAACCAGGTTGGAATAGAACTATTGACTTGGCTTTCGCAAGAGAAGAATGGCGTGGATTGGTTTTAGAAGCAAAGCGCCTAAGCGTCTTGTAAAGTTTTCTTTTTTTAAAATAAGTATAATAATCATACTATAGTGTTATTGACTCATTATACTATTATGTTTACAGTTTATTCATTTGAATGTTTTTTTATAAGATTTCCCTGCTCTTGAGTCTGATTACTAGCATTGCTTGCTTGTTCCCATTTAGCTGCCATCACCCTGTAAGCTACTTAGTACACAGTTTCAGTGAAGATTGATGAAGTTTTAGAAAAATAGCTTTTAATTCCTCGGGACAACTATACCTGCATTTATGCATCTATGCCTGTGCATTTTTTTCTCTTTCTTCTTTGTTTAACTCTACTTCTAACACATTTGCTATTATATCCTGTGGACAATTAAGACAACTATATAGTCGTTACAATAGTCAACATCTGTAGTGTTAACTAATAGAGCGGGCTTAGTTCAAAGGTTCAAGACGGGCTCTTTTGATTTCGTCGATATTTTGTTTCATTACAACTATACACATCAGTTAGTAGTGCCAAGATCAATACCAATGACACGACCTAGAACGCCTTTAGAATACATTGAAACCGACTGAGGCATGTCGATTTAAAAATGTTATCAGGCTAAAATAATTAAAAGACTACTCAGCAGTCCTTTGAGTTATACACTTCGTATCATTTAACATTAACATGGAGAATATAATATAAACATCAGCTGTAAATTATGTCCTGGAATTCTCGATGACGGTGGTCAGGTACTTTGTTAGTAGACAAACGCGAACAAGTAAAAAATTGTCCTACCACGATTTGGAAGAAGCGCACAACAAGTTTAAATAAATATTTAAACTTCGCTTACATAACAGTTAACGCAGACAAAGCTTATCGCTTTGCTAAACATGGCAGCGATTATGTTTACGAAGTTAATGTATGCAAAATTAGGTCATGCATTATCTACTCGTATTTCAGGGTCAACATCAGCATTTAAACGATTGTTAACTCATTGAACCGATAGTTAAATTAATTAAATCTATAAATTAACAAGGTATATAATTTTTTGTTGACTACAAAACACAAATTTTAAGCATATAATTGAAAATTAAAAAATTTTGAATTATGTATGTATTAACAACGATATAACTATTTAGTTATTTAATGTTTAAAATTTGAAAAACTCAAACACACGAAATATGATAGGTTTTTATATAATATTATATGTATAATATGTGTGTGTGTATGTTACATTTTATGTGTATTATATTTTGATGTACATATATATATTTTTGTATGTGTTATTGCGAGCGTTCAACAATGTTTCTACGCGGAATTTTTACTTAAAAGTCTAAGTTATTATTCAATTTCAACAACATTAATTTTCATTTTTATAATAACATTTTAAGTATAACAATATAAATCATAAGCAATAATATTAGTTCGATAACTTTTTGTTAACTTGTACGACTATGTTTGACACGAAAAATCAATGATTTATAATTGTTTTAAAACTATGTTTTTATTTGTAGTAACAACTAACATTCTTTCTAAAAGCTGATATCTAATTTAATTTAATTATCTACATAATGTTGTGAAGTACAGAGTACACATTTATACTATATTGTCATATTATTAGCAAGACTTATTTTGCATCCAGCTCGTCGCTGCGAGTATGGGCGGACCAGTTTCATCCTTGTATAATTTAACTAGGTTTATGGAAATCTGCAAATGAATAGACACT